GATGATCAAATCATAAAAATTTGTGAACGTTTTAGCTATCTCAAATCTATTGTTCAGAGTGACAGTGACATAGATGTGGATATTATTAGCAGAATTCAGGTTGATTGGTTGAAGTGGAGGAATGCATCAGGCCTATTGTGTGATACAAAAGTACCGTTTAGACTTAAAAGAAAATTTTATAAGATGATAGCGAGACCTGCATTTAAATGAAGTCCTTTAGAAAGAGAAGCATAAAAAAAGTTAAGTGTTACTGAAATGAGAATGTTTATGTAGATGAGTGACTTGACGCTTAGAGATGGGTTGGTGTAGCTTCACTTACAAACGAGATTAGAAAGAGCCGTCTTAAGAGTGTTTAATCACATTAAACGTCGACCATTTGATGATCCGTTGAGAAGAATAGATGGTTTAGATTCAAGATATGTTAAGGAAGAGGTAGACCAAAATAGACTTGGGTAAATTGTATAGAAAATGATCTTAATTGATAAGAACTAAATGAATATATGACACTCAATAGAACACAATAGAGAAAAATGATTCATGTAACCGACCCAAACTTAGTGGGATAAAAGCTTGTTGTTGTTGTTGATTTGTATATGTGCGTGTGTATGTGTGTGTAGCATTAACTAGTGCATAATATTAAGTAGTCATAAACATATAACATTCATAACAATGTAATCAATAAAAAATATATATATTAATCAAAATAAAAATTGTAAAAGTGACATTAGCTACTAATGCAAAATCGTAAAGAAGAAGCAAAATATTATCATATATTATAAGTACGAGTACTCAACTCAATATCGAATGACTTACATGTTAGATTTCCAATCTTTTATTTTGACTTCTTTAATTTAATATCTATAAAAAAATTTAATGCTTAAGTGGTCATTTTATGCATATATTTATGCTTAGTTGTTCGATTTAATATATATTAATCCATTCAAATTCTAATTTCTTAACTTTCATTTATTCTATAGTTATCTTTATTAATGTTATATATATATATATATATATATTACTTCTGAAGTAGTTAAAATAATTTTAAATTAAAAATATTTACTTGAACTTACCTCAATCGTCAACTTAATTAAACCTATTATTAAAAATTAATAATTACACATAATATGAAGTTCATAATTTAATATTTAAAAACACTAACCTCGGTCCACAGAGCCCTAAACGCCCGCTCGTCCCCTTCAAGCCAATCCTTTCTCAAGCTACGGCTCGGCTCGGCTCAGTTTGGTTCAATATTCACACACAATGTCTCAACCCGATGTTCCTCTCTTCTCCTTATAGGATGCTTGTGCCCCTCTTCCCGCGATCATCAGCATCGAATGCATGTTTGGTCAGCTTCCTTCTTCCACTACGCTAGTCTCGTCTTCTTCTGTCACACCAAATAATCGCTTAAAGCTCAAGAATGTCACAAAATTGTCTTTTATCTCGTCTTCCCTTGATCAGTCGGGGCACCAATAGCAGAGCAGCACAACCTTCACACCAGAAGTCGCTCGAAACTACAGGTAAGTCGATAGTGATGTTTTATAGAGCGAATTTACCTTTTTGAAATCTCGACTCTCACTTCACCTACCCCTTTGCAGTTGCCCAACTCCCAGCTTCCTCTTCCCCTCTTCAATTCCCAACCACTCACTTCATCTTGCCCATTTGGTTCCTCTAAAGCGAATGAAACGATGTGTCACAAATTACCACCTCGAAGCAAGATACAGCCAAAACATCACTCGCCCTCAGATACAACCCTAAGAGGGAAAACTGAGGAAGTTGACGTTTGACCTGATGGAAAACAAAGAAAAAACCGAACCCTAATATCCTGAAAATACATATATATAGTAGTAGACAAATAGGAGGGGGAGTCCCCTCCCCTTGAGCGGCAGCCCTAACCCAACCCTAAGGCCGACTAACCCCCTTCCAAAACCAGCTAGTCAGTCCAGTAGCAAATAGCAAAAATGATGTAATCTCTTGATAAGTTAATTATGTTTGCGCTGACATTCCAGAGCACGTCTTGATAAAAAAAAGTATCTATCAGCTTTTAGCACAACCTGAACTGTAGTTGCATATAATCGTAGATTCTCCAGTATGCCATGATGCCTCGACTTTCCAGCAGTTTGTACCCTGCAATTCTCTTCACAAGAAATGGAAGGCGTAATCCTGTCATCGCCTTCCCCGTAAGCTAAACTGGCGACTCTATAGCAGGACAGAGCAGGAGTAGACGATGCGAGTTTTGGGCCACTGTACACGACAATCACGTCGTGGCAGTCCTTGTACGCTGCGATTACATCGTGGCCTCCCTGTTAGCAATCGTATCGCGGGATTCAATCACGAAGGAGTTCGATAGGTCACAAAAGAATCTCATCCTATTTCTCACGCATGCAACAGCTATTTCTCACGACGGCAGTGATTCAGTGATCTCCCAAAAATGGATGCTCTGAAACCAATTTTATAGGAATCGATACGATTTCTCACAGAAAATTTTGGGCAAAGCAAATATTTTGTTTAATAACCTGAAACAACACGAATACAAAGATAAGCACCTACAATTCAAGAAGTAAGCAATCTCTCCCAATTCCTACAATTTGAGAGGTTAGAAATCTCTCCCAAACCCTAGCCCTAAGACTCACAACCACAATCTTATGCATAACCCTAGCCCTAAACATATTAACCCTATTTATGTGAAACCATAATAAATGACAACAAACTAAATTGCCCACAAGCTAATAAAAGACAAATTTATGCGACGCTCTAACACATTAAGAAGTGTTGTTAGCTGTGAACAGTAAAAGGGTAGATGGGTGTATTTTTTTGGTTGCTAAAAAGGGTGGTTAGCAAAGGATTTTAGTGATTGAAGACTGGAAGGAAAAAGAAACAAACGCCGTGCAAAAATATAGGTGCAGAAACAAAAGTGATGGCTTTCACATTATTGGAAATGTAGACATAGTGATTGTAAGAAAAGCACAGCATCAAACATGCAAACATGAAAATCACAGTGAAATCAAATGCAAGTACGGCAGAATTTTGAAAAAGCAACACACAAAAAGCAGGAAACAGAAAAAAAAGCTGGTGAGATAAAAGAAAGGAAAAAAATTAAAAAAAAAACATGAAAATTTTTTATGATACCCGAACTACTGGATTGTATGCAGCAATATTGTCGGGAAAAAAAGATCTACAAGGAAAAAAAAGGTTGGGTCAACACTAACCCAAATCTGATCAAAATATCTTTAGAATTAGGCTGGGGTAGGTTATCAAATTGGATCAAGTTGGGGTAGGTTATCAAATTGGAACATATCAAGTCCTACAGAAAAAAGAGAGCAGATATGCTATTGAAGTTTGTCATATAAATTTAGAAAAGAGATTAAAGTCCTTGTGAACTTGTTGTAAATGATCATTTCAGAGCTCACAAAGATATCTTGATCTTATTAAGAAATAAATCCAAAGATCCTGAAACAGAGAATCATCACATAGATATAAATCAAGATAATCATTCTATCACTACTAATGCATACAAGATAAATAGCATCAAACTAATTCTCAAAGAAAAAAAAAATTAGAATCTCATATAACTTGTAGAATTCTTCGTTAACAAGATATAACATAAAAAAAATTTTACAATGGAAAAATTCAGACTACCATAAAATGAGCTTTAGAAGGCCACCCAACCGACAAGAGCACAAGATCAAGCAACAAAGGCGGGAGTTCTTTTAAACTAATAAATATAGCTTCTAATAACTAAAGAGAATATATGAGATGCATGAAAAGGCCATGATGGAGATGTTATGATAAGCCAATTACCATATCATTAATTCAGCATAAACAAGCAATGAGTGTGTGTGTCTTTACATATGTATCATGAAAATATATTGGTACAACTCTTAAAAGGGTTAGTTTGACCTCGACCTCATGTTATAAATGAATCAAGTCAATGATGTGATCAAACTTTGTATATAAAAATCATACCTCGACCAATTGACAAGCCTGCATCGAACCCAAAATGTAATAACAACAATCATAAGCTATCACATACACAAGATAAAATAAATCATGGCATGGTTTGTCTGGATATTTTTCCACGTGGAGAATTTTTTACATTTTTTCTACATTGCCTCCAGCAAATATAATTGAAAGATGCTTCCCTCAAGCCTACTCAACAAGCCACGCAAGGGTGGATGATTCACGGCAGTATTCTCAAATATTAATTATTTTAACTACTACCAAAAACTCAAATATCACATAATTCACCCAATTCACAATAACCTGAAATATTTAGGTTCCATAGCCACAGAGAGACTTTAAATGTATATGAAGCATTTACATATTTCATTAATTAAAATAATCAAATCGATAGTAACTTAAGGTCTGTTTGGGGCAGCTGCAGCTTATTGAATAACCTGTTGATAGACTGATTAAAAATAATCTGCTGATAAGCTAGATGCGGTAGCTATTACAATTTTTTATTTTTTTGGAAAAACCAGACCGCAGTCAGAAAGCTGTCACCGCACCTAGACACGCATAAGCTGCAAAAACGCAGTTTAACCTAAACAGGCCAGGTGCGTTTTCACAACGCCACCACATCAAATAAGCTGCCCCAAACAGACCCTTAGTAATATGGCACCTATCAGCAATCACATAGAAGTAGATGAACTAATAAATAAACCTAGTTTGCATTTAGTGGACATTCAATCATCATTACTGTTTGAAAATTAAATGCTCCTGGCATGTCAGTGCGAACATAGAAACACTGGTTTAGATCAGCATAGGTAGTATAGAATATATATATTGGACGGCAAAAATGTATGAAAACACACAATGTGCATTTTGGCCCTGGTAAAAATAGCGGAGTATGCTATCTGTTACAAATTTTAGGACCTGTTATTCTCCATCACCTTATTCTTGATACAGGATCAATATATGCATGGAATGAATAAAAAAAATTAAGCGATCACATGTAATAATTAAAATTCTCCGACCAAGTGTAAAAGGGAAGAAAAAATTACCGAACCGATCCCGTTCACCATCAGCATATTTGACTTGAATTGGTACAGTAGCCTATTAAACCATAAATTAATTTCAATTGCAAGGCACAAAAAATTTGAAGATAATGTCAGATTGTATTCCCAAGTACTTACCCCAGGTAATGTATATCGATTGTTCAAAGCTCTTATAGCTCTATCAGCATGCTCTGAGGATGCATATTTAATGAAGCCAAAACCTGTACAAGCGAACTTTTGCATATTGATCTAGTGGTTTACCAAAAACCTCTTACACTGATATTTTATCAAAAGTTCAAATAACCACAATGGAAAATGACGAGGAGAAAACAAACCCCTGCAAGCATAATTTATCATAGCAGATTGAAGTAAACGTTAATGAAATTAACTAACTTAGTGAAATGCCCCAATGACCAAACAAAAAAACATTAAGTGTGAAGCAAAGACAGAAAAGATGTAAATTTTAGCCTCCGCCAATCTTCTTTGAAATATGTCCTCAAGCAAACAACCAGTTCTAACATCAACGAAACATCAAATTCTATAACCACAACAAAGGCTTAATGAAAGAATACATAGCGCATATCAACCAATACTCTTGACAAATGGAAACATTTTCTCAAAGCATGGACCCATAACATAACCAACACCGCTTTTGCATAGAAAGTATAAGCATAGTCCACATAGAAAGCGGAACCACCATAAAGAAAGGTAGCATCACTTGGTGCCGCAAAATAGTCTAATGAAAACATCCATGTATAAACCACAAAATTCCCATGAAAAATGGAAATAGCTCCTTGACCCATAAACATTAACAAAATCAATCTCACTTTCTTGTAAATTCATTCACATGTTTCGCATAACCTGTAGTCAGTCATCTCACAACCAGGGAATACTGCTACAAGAGAAACTAGAACACAAACACAACAGAATCTCACGATGCCATAACCCAGTACTAAATCTAAATGAAGGTGATACAATTAGTTGTGACGCAAACATTACAAACTACAGCACCCAATTGCAAGAAGCCCAAAAGATCCAAACGTACGAAAATAATGATGTTTTAAAACAGATTAATATTACAATGACTCCATCATGATATGAAGACATTCCAAAAGATCCTAGTCACTCAAATTCCAATTCTCAAGATCATGTATAAATAAACCATAATGCAACCAGAAAATGTTAATAAGGAACAGAAACAAGAATGATGCCAATCACACTTAACTAATATCAATAACAAAAAAATTTCCAACTGCAGAATAAAAATATATAAGGCAAACAGCCAAAAAAGACTGCTAAAATGTTGTTACGCGCATAAAACCTCATTACAGCTTATTCAAAATGCAGCACTTGTTACCAAATAATAAATCATTTCTAAGGTGTAAAAACAAATTGAAGCATTTCTCAGGCGTAAGAACAAATGGAAATAAACTACTTTCAAAAGACAGGAGAGGAAGGAGAAGCATAGAAAGTACAGCTGTGAATTTAGCTCGAAGATCGTTAATTGCTCGAAAATTGATTTCCATTTTGGCTCGAATCAAGATCGGATTGAAATAAACGAGCCAAAATTTTTTATCGAATTTATTTCAAACCAATTCGAGCTGATTTCGAGCTAACGAAATCGGATCGTTAACCACCCTAGTGATTTCAAAGATGGAATTTAGCAAATTTAGCTTGAATATCATTAATCACTCAAAAATTGATTCAAATTTTGGCTCGGATCGAGATTAGAATAAAATAAACAAGCCAAGCTATGAGCCAAAAAATTTGGATCAAATTTTTTTCAAGCCGATTTTGAGCCGACCCAACTCGGCTCGAAATCGAATCGTTAACAGCCCTGATAAAAAGGTTCTCTAGGTCCAACTTACAGGTTTTATTTTCCGTATTGAAAATTACACAACAATATGATGTTGCAAGCTTGGCATATGAAATTACCAAAACAGAACATTTCAGGATCAACCAAACACTTAAAAACTAAGCAACATGCAAGAGTAATATTGCCACAGCAATGGCCTTCAACATACAAATAAACAAAAGAAAAAATGGCTTTCAGAAAGTTTAAGAGCCCTAAACTAAAATCATAAGCTTGAGACTGCCTTGATGACCTGGAAGGCATGCTCATAGCACGATTTATTGAACTGAATCGGTCATTCCCTTAAATATGCACTGAAGCTACAGTAGAGAAAATTGAGGTTCTATACATAGAAGGCATGAAAGTGGGCCAGGAGCAATTGTTAAATTTCTTATAGAGTAGCTTGAAGGTCCCAGCCTCAAATCATGAAAACAACCGCTTTGAAAAAACTTAGATAAGGATGCACACATAAACCACTCCCCAAACCCTATATCAGCAAGAGCTTTATGCAGCATATAAGACTTTTTAAGAAAAAATAAGAAATGTAAGAGAGCAGCAACAGATGTGCAAAGTTGCACGGTCTTGAGGACCAACAATTCCAAAGTGTGCAGGCCACATCAAGTTGAAGAAAACCAAGGTCATCCATAAAAGCTTCCTGTTAGAGCTACTAAATTTTTTTGACATCAACCTTGGGGAAAATGTTGATCAACCAAATGATCTTGGAGAAATGTTTTATTATGAACCCAAAAGATGAATACATCATATGTTATGGGAATGATCTGGAAATAAAGTTTGATATATAGTTCACGAATAGCAGTTTTTATGTTGCACTGTATCTGAAATGATATGGCCATACAAAGATCTCAATTTTTTAATGCATAATGGCAGCAGCACCAGTCAAGTACAAGCCCACATGCCAGCGGATCACTTAGCAAAACATCATTCTTTCATGTGCCAGATATATAATGTTCCTGCAACAAATGTGCCAGATACACAATCACGACACAAGTGCACTCAGATAACAATATATAAATCTCACAATCCAAAAAAGAATAGGGAAACTTTGAAAATTTTGAATTGTTCCAGCATCATGATATTACCAAGTCATTCCACGAGTTTTGTACTCCTTTCGGAAGGGGAAAAGCAGCTCAAGTATTATTGGATGAAAAAAAAAGGTAGTCCAAGTGTGACAATAAAGCAATTGCCACAAAACATTACTCCAACATTTGACAATTTTATTGGTACATTAATGAAGAAAATAAGTACCACCAATAAAACATAATAAGGGCCATTAAGCTCAAATATTCCTGCATAAAAGGCTCCTGATCTCATAACTCAGCCTATTTATAACTTCTAAAGGATGATGTCAAAGGAAAAAAATCAAGTAAATTTTATTATCCAGAACCGAGCATACCTAGGATGATTAAAAATTCCATCTCCAGAGAATTCCTAGCACAAATCATCAACACAAAAATGAAACAGAAACAAGTATCATCCAACCTCACATACTCCAGAACATCATCCGTGAGTCAAAATACCATTCATTAGTGTGTGTTTCGCTAATGATATATTTCCATGTATTTAAAAGCATTCATCCATTCATAAATCGGGAGGAAACGCCCATGCTCCAGAATCCAAATATCAATGTCCAGGCCACAACAACAAAGCCAATGATACCACATTCATATAGAATATAGAGAGCATCTATGTGTATCAATAAAACCACCAAAACCAAACAAGTATATAATATAGATTACACATTTTACACAGCCAATAATCAACATCCAACAAAAGCAAGCCCAAAGAATAATTCTCCAAAAACATTAAATAATAGGACATCTAACCCAACAAAATATGAACCAAGTGATTCCATGCTTAGTGATGGAGCAATACGCCCACTGCAAGGTGAATAAATTATTTAAACCTTCATGAAAGTTCGATCCACAAAGTCCACAGAGACAGATTTTAAGAGAAAAATAACTAAAAACATTTCTAAAGCACATCCTTATAAGAATCAGTTCAGAGTATCAAACATCAAACAAAATCCAGGCCATCTAGTACATAAAATGAACTCAAACATTTATGGAATTAGTATTTGCTTAAAATTCAGGAAGAAAGCAAAGCTTTTATTACGTAAAAATACGTATAGTTCTCATCACCGTTTCACATAAATAGTAAGCTTATAGGAACAACTGCCACAAATCTTTTAGGGAAGAAAAACTCAAAAGAAGTCATTCCCTTCCATTGCTATAAGCAGTTCAAAAGTGCCTTAATTGCATACCAAACTTTAAATCAATAAGCATCAACATGTGCAAACATTTCATCAACATTTTGGCTGCTGTCAATATAGAAATGACAATGTCAAGTTTCCCTTTTTTTCTTTGAGGAACTCAAGACGACCATGACCTCATAAAAATGGGCAGGTTGCCACAGAATACAACCACTCTGATCAGATAAAAACATTATCTGAGAGAACTTATAAATGAATTGCTCCCCAAAACCTCAAAGGACCTGTTAAAGAAAACCTCAATGTATCACGAACATGAGAAAACATCTGAATCTACCTTGTTGGTGACCAGTTCGCCAATCCTTAATTAAAGCCACTTCAACAACATCACCATGTTCCTCAAATAAAGGACGAATCTGAAAAAAATATAAAAGAAAAACTGTGGCTGAGTAACCTATCACTTGGCCAACTGCTTCAAGAGATACATTCTTGAAAAATAGGGCATGTATCATAATATTAGTTATAATATAAAATATTTATAAGAAAAAGGTTGTAATAGAATAGTGGAAAGCACCCAAAACAATACAGAATTTGATTACAAAAATTTAGAATAAAAAATAAAAAAATTACATATAAACTTTATTGGAGTAAATTTTTAAATGAAAGTAGCAAAAGATATGCATGAATTGTAAAAGTCATATGGCAAATCCACATAATTGGAAAGTTGCACAAGATCAACACCCACGAGAAATGGTTTTATAAAATTAAGGCCTGCACAGATAGGCAAGATGGTATTGTAAACAGAAGAGAAACACTTCAGGCGTTTACATTCTTAGGGCTCAAAATTAAAAAGCATGCTTTCAAATAAATGATTTACTAGATTCCATCATTTGGTTGGATCGTTGAAATCAATATGAATTTTCAACTGATCAAAATCCCCCAAGAAATGAGTATTTCACTTTCATCGCTTTCTAGAATATATTTCCTTCTATGAGCAAGCAATTCAGCCCTTACGGAACATGGAATTTTTCACAAAGTTTCCCATGCCTGAAGGAAAACCAAATCAATTGAAAAAATAAAAATAAAAATCTCAAAAGATCTGTTAGAAGGTACGGTTATAAGCTATCCAACCCCGAGTAGAAGAAATTAACAGCATGCATGGCAACAACAACATGCACAGGATTTACAAAATTAAAACCAAGAATCAGCACAAAACCCAATTTATATTTTGCAAGCAAAAGTGAACACTCAAAGAAAACCTCACTCAAACTTTCTTTCCACCCATGACAGCTCCTTTTCTAGCTACCCTTTTAAAGTAAATAGAAATGAACTCTATCGCATGATCTTGAATAAAATGCCACCCTACCACTGCTGTTGGAACTTCTTATGTAGAAGAATAGCATTTTAAAACTAATGATATGCAAGTCTAACCACAAGATTCATTTCCACCAGCATCTTGCTACTTAGTAGCACAATTGAATAGTAAATAAATTCATAAAGCACTGGACTTCCTTTAGATTTCTATTCAAAAGCAGACCAAGACAAGACCAAAATACTTGAACCAATAACACAACCAGGTATATAAAATTTCAAGGGGTGCAGAATTATAAAATCCAACAGAATTCATTTCAAGCATGCCAGGTAGTGGAATGGAACTAAAATAACTTCATTTCGCAAAATCTACAAGTTTGCTTTATCTACTAGGATAAACACAAAATGTCAATGGAATATATCATTCAGGAGGATTGCAGAATGCAAATTCAAAACACAAACAAATACAAGTATTAATTTGCCTCATCAAGATAAAGTTCAATGCGCTAGTTTTAAGTTAAATATTTAATCCCTACATTTGGACTTAATAGACTACATTTTTTATATAAGTTCACAACATTGTTCTAAAAGGATGAGCACATTCAACAATGCAGTAGGCACAAAAAGAAAATAAATAAAATGCAAAACTTACATCTTCTTCAGTTGCAGTCTTCGGAATCGACCCAATGAACAGTTTGGCAAACTTGTTTCCCTCACCAAAGTCTGGGAAAAATCAATCACCTTGTTAGAAGAAATGCTTAACCACAAATAAAATAAATCACAGCCAAAAATAGTATAGCATATTCTAAGAAACCTGAAGTTAACTTATGAATGCCAGAAAGACTTCCCTATGTAAACACCTTAAACAATATGAATCTCAATTTATAATGAAAATGATAGATATAAATAAGAATTTGATACACCAAAAAAAGAGATACCACAAGTTGCAAATGTGTAACACAATCTACCGAAGTCCAATGAAACAGCCCTCGCACATCGGCAGACAATATCCAAGGCAAAACAAATCACTAGACTTAAATTTGGTCTAACTTGAAAGAGAACATCCACAAATTCTACCCGTGCACTGGAAACGACAAAAATCACTCATTTTCCTTTTGAAGCCCGATAGACATAATATCCTGAGATGGCTCAACCACTCGAAGTGCTGCAAGTTAAATGACTTATTACAAATAAAAGTTTATGAATCCATGCAACCTAACTTCGCAAAATTTATCCAGGATACAGGATGAATTTACACAAGCATTTTTTAAAGGTTATCATAAATTTGATTTAACTAAACTTGAAGCAAATCTTAGATGTCATAATACTTCCTAAACCAAAAATGACAGGATTCGAACGTGCAGCATTTAAGGAATTAGGTTATGTTAAGACGCTGGGAATTCAACTGAAAGTAAATCAAATAAATGGCTGAAATTCTCAAAGAAATGATTATAGATTCATAATCAAGTGATGAAGTACTGGGAATTCATATCATTTTATCCACTTCTCTTTAATACATACAAAACCTCCACTTACCCGCATTAAAACAATTTTCAAGATTTAGCGTAAACTAACGATAAAATCCAAATATTCACTAAATCTGAATTTACTTGATTACTAAATCCAACACTATTTCAATCCTATTCTCTAAAAAAAAGCAATAACAAGGAAAAAATTCATAACGCCAAAAACCCTAACTTAGGAAACCGGATCATGATCTACCTGGAGAACCTCCTCTGCCCGCAAACCCTCGCTTCTGACCACCCATCGGCATCTGATGACTACCCAAGTCCCCGTGACCATCGCGGAAACCCTGACCGCCGGCAGAAGAATAGTCAGGCTGGCCACGGTAAGGGTGGTATCGGCCACCGAAGCCTTCTCCGCCGCCGGCGATTCCACCGCCTCTAGGGAAACGTTGGTGCTGGTTCGGTTGGGTGTCTGATGGCCACCGTGACGGCATTCTCGAGTACTTTCCGCCGTCGCCGAAGCGATGCCTCTCCATCGTACTCTAGAGTTTGCAGGGGATAGCGGAGGAGATTATAAGCGATTACACCGGAAGCACGGTATCGCGCCAGTTGCACTTTCATCCCATATGCCTTCTCTCTTATAGTGCTGAATGAATTAGCATTTTCTAGGGCTCGGAGGTAATTTTATTTGCCTAAAAATATGTGGTGATGTTATTTTAATATAATAACACCACAATACTATCAATAATATTATCTACACTTAATTCGGATGTAAGTCATCTGAATGTAATAATTTTAGGAAATTTAGCTCAAAATTTGTTAATCTCTTAAAGATTGACTTAAATTTTGGTTTGGATTGTGCTCGGTTTGGTTCTACAATGAGTCAAAAGTATGAATTGAATTTTTTTGCAAGACTATTTTGAGCTGACCCAACTCGGCTCGAATCAGATCATTAACAATACTACTGATATTTGGGCAGTGAATTTAGCAAATTTAGCCCGAAGAACGTTTATCGCTCAAAAATTGATGTGAATTTTGGCTCAGATCTAAATTGAATCGAAATAAAGCGGAGCTACGAGCCAAAATTTTGGATCGATTTTATTTCGGACCAATTTTAGGCCTCAGCTCAAAATCAGATCATTAACAGCCCTAGGTTTTTCTTCTTCCTCCTTTCCTTTTTTCCTATTCCAATGATAACACTCCTCTTTAAATCTATACATAAAATACTTTCATTCAATCATAATTTATTGCATTAATGTTTGGTTAATTTTACTTTATAAATCATATAATACAACAAATTAAGAAAATTTATGATCGTTATTTAATTTTTATCTTTGTCTCAGGGCACTTTATTCGAGGTTAGTGATGTTATACATTTGATTAGTACGTTTTGAAATCATTACACAAACCCTAAACCTTAAATCGAGGGCAACATTAGACAACACATTACTTGCTTCAAATATTAATTGAAACGTATTCCAACCTTTGTCGAATTTTGTTCATACGCATAACTTAAACCTAAAATGAATTAACATTAAATTATTCACTTCGAACATTGATAGAAATTTGTTAAATTTGTTCAACTATTGATCAAATCTTATTTGAATCCAATTCAAAGCTTGTTCATATTGTTAGACAATAGTTGAACATTGTTTAAAAAATGTTCAAACCATGCCCAAATGAAGTTGAAACCATGTTGAGTACGATTCGAGCTTGGTTGGAGCGACATTCGATCAACATTTGACTAATACTTATTTAAACTTTAAATAAAATATGAGAAAGGTCTGAATATTCTATCTTTTTCAAGTTTGTTCATTTGTGTTGTTATGATATGGGATATGATTCATGTTTTTAATCATATATGTATGGAGTCATTAAACTATTCGGATAACATATAAAAATGAGGTGGTAATTAATTTGAAGTGGTTAATTTCATTGTGTTCAACTTCGAAGGCAACGACATAAAACATGGCACTGTTGAATTTTGCACTAATTAATAGTTGATAAATTTATCAATGAAGTTCAACGTGAAGATTGTTATCATGAGCCCTATGATTTATGATTTTATTTTGATGTTAACAAACACATATTTGAATATATGAACATTCTTTTGTTTCAATATTGCAAGTATATAATTATTTTAAAACAAATCATAAAGTTAAGCTTGTGAATATAATTTAAGTTTGGTCCATTTTAGAACCCAAATAAGGTGTTTAGTACCTATTTTATTTTTAATTTATTTTATTTTTGACACAAATATTTTTAGTAACCATATATTTGACTATTTTTTTAACTATTCTTAGTAAAATAAAATTTTATATTTTGGATGCATATCTTCAAAAATATACATACCCAATATTTTCAGTTGATATAGTACTTTTATCTAAAACATTGATTGAATTGTTTTCATAAAGTATTATATCATTTCACAAATATTTCATGCAGAGATATATACGTGAATTAATTTATTTTCATGATTAATCTTTTTGTTCATATGATTGGATAACTTATTATGCATTCATTAAATCAAGTTTTAACACCAGTTAACATCATTACATTTATTATAAATGAAACTCGTGTGTTTGTGTGTATGTGTGTGTGTGTGTAATCGTTCATATCAATCTTATCTTGGCTGAATTTTTCAAATCATCATAACTGTTGTATTTTGTCTAATTTAGATTCAAATTACCCGAAATGACATCTTAAATTTAAATATTTTTTAACATGACGTACATAAGTACATACATACATATTTAAAAATTGGTCAACTTAAATTAGAGGTGTAAACGAATCAACCGGAGCTTGACCCACCCTTAGCTTGAGCTTGAGCTTGATTAATTAATGGAATTTAAGCTTGTGCATGAACTTAAATCTATGAATTTGAGTTGGTTCAGAAGACCGTTTTTTATTATGAAAGAGGGAAAACAATATTAATTCAAGTTAGTGTTATAATAAAATGACAGATATAATTAACAATTAAAAGACAAAAAAATAATAAATCACTAGACATAAAAATTAAAATTTTATTTTTAAATATTCTTAATAACTCAAAGATAAAGTCGCAAATTTTAATATAATTTTAGTATGTTTTATATTATTATGTTTTTGAACAAGTTAACTCATGAGCTAAGGAATCGAGTCAAGGCTTGCCTGAGGTTGGATTGTTAGCCCATCAAGCTCAACTCAAAAGCAACTTGTTGAGTCGAGCCTGAGTCAGTTTGATTCAATTTTATCCTTAACTTAAATGACCAAATACTAAACAAGTTTATGTACTATTTTATAACATCTTTTTTGCTAGCAACATATATGACTTTACAAAATATATCCTCAGAATTTTTCACAACAGATTCAAATTTACTTTAATAATTAAAATTCAATTTAAATATCTTAGAGACATTTGGTGCATAATATAACATTATTAGAATTGTTGTTTTATAAAAGTTAAACTCAAATGAGTTGATAGCCTGTGCAATTCAATCCTTGGGTGTTGTGCAGTGTCTATGTTGTTTAAGTTCTACTAGAAATAGGGCAACAAACTAACTAAGCCAAGTTTAACAAGGTTTTGTTCAAGCTTGAGCTTGTTTATAAACTTAGTGAGATTATCCAAGAATAGCAATGTCAATATTTGACTATCAGCTCATTAGGGAACAATCATAGCCACTAGTTTCTCCTCACCAGCCTATTTCAAATCACCATAACCACATGTGGCAGCCAGTTGACATTGCTATCCTTGGAGAATCTTGTCAAATGTAGTTGTGTAAGTTTATAAATACCCTCACTTCTAGTGGCCTTCGTTACAACTTTTGATCATAAATCCATTCCTACTTAAAGGAACCTCTCCATAGCTTCTCCCCACACAATTTGCCTCTATATACCACCTTAAGGCCAACTATACCCTCATTTCCATTTGACTTCAATCAAACTCAAACCTCCTATCAACTAAGAATCCAATTGATGATTGAAGATTATTCATGTGACTTAAGAGATTGTGTGGAGCACGATAATTGTCTAGATTGCCTCTACATATTAAGGTGTGCTTAAAAAATAGATCTAGATTCTTTGGTTTTACTGTTTTATGAAGGAAAGTCAATATATCTCATGAATCCCACCGTTGGATGAACTTTGTGTATTCCAAGGATCCTTTCTAGTGAAAGGATTTCAAGGATTGGTGCTTTGATTGTTTGGATAAAACCATATTTGAATAAGTGTTTTGGGTCATTGGCAAGAGGTTGAAGATGATTCCTCTGCCATTCCAAGCGACCTGGATGTAGACATATCACCCATCCAACTTGCCACGATATTTGTGGACACACTAGTTTGGTTTAGTATCCACTAGGTTGATGCCACATGGCAATAAAGCCCATCAATGATTTCATGTTATAATAAATGAATCCCATGTGTAAAGGATTACACAATAAACCATGTTAACTATGCAATTATGTTATATTGCCTTTTAAACAAATTTAAAAAATTTGCAATTTTGAAAATACATAAACAAATCTGGGAAAATCAAAAAATTATGAAGATCTATGCAAACATAATAAAATATTTAAAAATAAAGTGAATGTGTGAATTTAAATAAAATAGTTCTAATTAATTAAATTTAAAAACTTTAATTAATTTAACAAAAATAAAATTAATTTAAAAATTAAATTTAAATCTCAATAATTAATCTTTTAATGATATTTAGTCGTATTAGTTTTCTTAAGACATGATATGCAATGCATAAATGAATTGGAAATTTTATTTTAAAAAGTCATTAAATAAAAATAAAATTTTAAAAAATTGACATAATAATGATGTTAATACATGTTAAAACACTCTTAATGAAGTTCATAACTCAGTCATAATAGTGAACAATCAATTTTGAATTAATTTAAAATTATTTTAATAAACTTAATAAAAATAATAATAATTCGAAATAAACAAAACAAGAAAATAGCATCAACTTAAAAAAATTAAAATAAATTAAATAAAACCAATAAATACTTAAAATTTTACCATATAATTAGAATAATAGAAAAAAAGTATTAAAAATAATTTTAAAAATCTTTTATTCAAAATAAATTTTAAATAATTAAATAATTAAACAAATATGATAAATCATAATAAATCAATTTGACTTCTAATTGACTTGAATTTCATATAGTATGTTCAAAATTTTATTTTAAACATCTTTATAAATTTTCATAATATTTGGAAGTCATTTGAATTTTTATAACTTTTAATATAAAAATTTACATAAAAACAAAAATAAGAATTAAAATTTCAAAAAGATTTAATAAATCACCATATTCAAGTAAAACATTGAGGTTATTTTTTACTTCAAAATTTAATTTCATAAAATTTTGAACACATTTAAACTCAAAACCAATATGATTTAAAACTTAGGATCAAATTATTTTTGATAATAATAATATTTATAAAATTAACAAAATTTAAAAAAAAAAATAAATTTGAATTTATTTTATGCTTTAAAAGGTCTCGTATCATCTTCTTAGATAATTTCGAGTCTTTTAAAAGACTTAATAGTCTTTAAATTCATATATTTACTTTTTGGGTAAATATATATGCTTAATGCATATTTTAAGAATAAAACCAAAACTTAATACAATAAGTTTAAAACTTAATAAAACACTTCAAAATATTAAATACTTAAATTG